TAACACTTGTGTTGTAACTGACAGAGCACCTAGAGCTCTTGATTTCTATAAACTGGTTCGTTTAAGCATTTTTAAACCCCATATTATTTGGGGAAAGGAGCATGTCTTCTCTTTGTAAAGCTATGCACGCCAAACGCATACAAATGCTGTCCAAGTTATGGTGAGGCCTTATCTTTTTTTTTGGAAGGGGCTTCTCAATTACCCTGCACTTGGTGCTGTTTCAGGTGGCTTGAAAATGTTTGCCCTGTGCTTTCAAACAGAAGGGGTGACAACAGCTGCTCCTAGCTTCTGACCAGCAATCACCTTCCAGTTCTGCAAGTCTGGTACCTCACAGACACATGCAGAAGGGCAACTGGTACCCACCTTCTGTGTAAAATTCTGGATGTACTTCCCTCATTAGGTTCTTGCTGACATTAATACTGAGGGACAGTGCAACACACTAGATTTTTTCTGAATTATGTCACAACTTTTAAAGGATGTTAGGTAAAGTAATAGTAGTTTAGTAAATTAAATTGGACCGACGCTTTCTTTCTCTGTGGCTAGAAAATGTAAGGAAAATCATCTTACAATAAGATAATTGCATAAATGCATTGGAATTTGAAGTAAGCATTGTCACCCTTTCCTGATCTGTTATTTTTGATACTTTCTGTTGTAGAAGTGATCTGATTGTTTCCTCTGAAGAACCAAAGGTGATGAGTGAGCATCTCTGCAGTCAGTGGAGTTTCTTCCATGCTATGAAGGAGTTTTATTTTTCCTCTCCGGTTTTTTAAAGATTTCTTGAATATCTTTTTTTGGAAGGACTTTAGTAAAACCAGCAGAAGAAATGATGGGAATAAACTTGGATCACCTTTCTAATAGCTTTCATCACTAGAAAAATCATGCTTCACGTGCGTAACTTAATACGGCTTTTTCCAACAAGCTTTTTCTGTTAGTAAATGGATATTTCTGCATTCCTTAAGACACAAGACACTGGAATCTGAAAGTAATGGGCTGATTTGGGTGGTGGGACTGATTCTTTTTTTAAAAAGGTGGGTGTTGGTTTAAAAGGCATAATTGTAAAATTGGCAAAGAATCTTTTACACTTTGTGGTTCTAATACTTGAAAAATAAATACCTCATTGCTCTACAAGTAGAGTTAATGGGGTGTTTTATTTAAACCTGTTGGTTTAAATATTACTGCAGAGAACTCTAATTATGGGGGCAAAGTATAGGCTTCTGTATCAGGTTCTTGTAAATGTAATTCCTACAGGGACATTCTGTAAATTGAGACGTCACTATGATCTTCTCACATATTCTCTAAAGACACAAAACAAGGCAGGTTTTAAAATGTGAAAATTTGAAAGCGTTATTTTTTTCACAGACAAGAGGAAAACCTATTGTTCTCCTAGATTATGTATTTATGAATTTTGTTCAGTACAGAAATAAATCATTTAATTGAATAAATTAGAAAAATGTGTTAAACGATAACTGCAAACTTGATTTTTTCAGTTACATCCATGTTCATAGTACTATAAAAGATGTGTACACATACATGCACACAGAAGGAAGTACCTTGTTCTGAGTCCTGTAAATTGCTGCTGTTCCTAATGATGGAAGACTTTGCCTTATCAGACTATTGAAGACTGTGTGAAACCTGAAACATTTGATTTTTGGATGATGGAGCAGGTTTGAGGATTTTTTGGTTTTGCTCGTTTCAGAGCAAATGGGAAAATGGTCATTGTTTGTGCTTTTTTTGTGGTGTGTGATTTTTATAAAGCAGTGCAGTTTGAGTGATAAGAGGAGCTTTCTCTTTAGTTTGATGCTGATTTCTACTGTCATTGTTCCATCCCTCGCTTTTGGTTGCTCTTGGGCAGAGCTGTCAAATCTTGCACCTTTCTGTGCTTTGATAAACAATGCTGTTACAGGTAGAGCTCACTCTAGGTGTGTGAGTTTGAAGCACCAACCAGGGCTTGATGTATTGCTCACTAAAGTCAGCGAGTAGATCCTTGGCTAGTGGAAATAGAGGTTTATGGGGTTTCAGTTCATGCTACCAGAGAACGTACCATTAAGATTCCTGCACCTGCCTTTAGTGAGCGCTGAGCGAGGCTTCTAGGGAGCTGTGCCCAAAGTCTGTGCTAGTAGAAGAAATCCTGAGACAAAAGCAGAAGAATTTTTGAAGAAATGACTTTTTGCTGCTGTCACATGTTCATCTGACACAGGAGATGGGATAAAAGCAATGGAAATGCAATGCAAAAAGAGACTTTATCTGCCAGAGAACATATGGAAGGGAAAGTACAGCCATTCAGTCAGAATGCTTCCAATAGCAGCTTGCGAAACAGTAAAATGAATTGGGTTCCTTTCTTGCTTCCTTTAGTTTTTCATGTACATAGCCACAATATTTTGAAGTGTCCAAAATATGTAGTTTTTCTTTAAGCCTATATCTAGCATGTAAGTACCAAATAAAACTTGTTTGAAATATTTACTTCTATTTACATTTTCCTTTTCTTGCATAGTTCAAACAGGAGTCAGTCTGTGATGAAAAACTCTTCTTGCTGCTCCCGGTCTGCTTAAAACTTTTCTTCAGGTTTTCTCTAATCTCTTTACTAGAAAATTAGTATAGAGTCATACAGCTAGAAACAGAGCAAAGAAATAGCCACTAAGATTTAGCCTCAATTTGGATGCATTTAGGTTTAGGTTTAAATTATGTTGATCCTGATCTATTTGGGCTCAGTTTTAAATTATGCAAGGAACAATAGCTTCTATTCTGTTGAATATTGTTCTTGATTATAAAATACGATACCAAATGAAAGCCAGCTCCATTGCCTGCTATTGCAACTGCTTTTGTTGATGGTACTATCAGAGGCAAGACTTAACTACTCAGTGAGGCAGAGCTAGCAGCTGTGGAAGTCAGCTCATGTCTTAACAGCACAAGAGAAATACTTAGGGGGGTGACATCCACTGAGTTTAGCTCAGTATAGCACAGCTGCTGGGTTGCTCACCGTTAGCTTTTCTCATTTCAAACGTCTCATCTCTGCATTCCTGGTGAATGCTTCATTATTGTCCTTCTTGCCAGGACCTTGAAGCATTGTTTGCAATTAAATACCCAAGAAAACCAGACAGACTCTAATGCCATTACTTAATATTGCACAGGTTTTCTTTTTGGAAAATGATCTAAAGTCACCCAAGGAGGTGGCCTGAAGTTTGAGATTTTCTGGTTTTGTTCATAGCTGTGTCCTTCAGCTCTTTGCAGTCCTCCATTCTAATATGCCCAGCTGAGCACGTGGGTCTTTTACATGAGATTTCAAAAGAAAATTCCTTTCAAACATGAATACTGAAAATGCCACACTCTTTATCTGAAGTCTCTGTGCTTTAATAGGCCTTTAATTATCTATCTGCCCTGTGCTTTAATAGGCCTTTTTACTGCACTGCAGAGAAGCTTTTGCTTGTGGTTTTGGTTGTTTGGTTTTTTCTAGTTTTCATTTGTTGTTTTGGTTTTTTTTACAGTACTATGGCAAAGAATTTACAGTTCTTAAAAGGAATCATTAACAGAAATGCCTCCCCTTAGCACCAAAACTAAGCTTAGTGATCTGGGCCACAGTAAAATGCAATGTTGAGTTCTTAGTTATAACAGAATGATTTTTAAATTCTTTTCATCATTATAATTTTTAATCTTGCTTTAATTCCATATTTGTAGCCAGTAGCAGCTCTAAAGCTCTACATGCATCTAAGAGTTATATCATGGTCAGAAGTACCTCAAAAGACAGGAGACAGTTTGGAAGTATTTTCCTAAGAAACTGTGCTACCTGAGAACAGATGTTTACCAGAACAGTGGTTCCAAAATTTAAGTATTCCAGCCAGTTCAATGTGAAGCTCCAGCCAGATTCTTGTATTTAAAAAGTGTATTGACTAAAGGTGCTATTAGATTGATATTGCTATTAGATAACTATTCTCTTACAAATTAAAGCCTATCTATAAAAAAAACCAAAAAAAACCAAAAAAAAACAAAAAAAAACCACTAGTTCCCCATAATTTCAAGGCTCTGTGCTACAACTTTTTCCTGAAAAATTTGATTGCCTAAAAGGTCTTTGAGACAGAATCTCCCTTTGGAGGACAGGTTTCAGTATCCTGTATATATGAAACAAAATTAGTTGAATGTAAACATACTAGTGCTTTTTTTTTTTTTCTTTAACTCCTTTTAAAATGAAACATAAATATTAAAATATAAGATCCGGATTTTTTCACTTTTTCCCTGTTGCAAATAATTTTGGAAATAATTTACCTTTTACAGGACACAGACTTCTGTATTCAGACACATATCACCTAAATCTTGCATGGTAGCTGCTGCATATTCTGGACATGCTCTGTTCAACATTGACCTACCTCAATGTACTTCTGCTACTCTGCAAGAATAGTGCCTACAGTGTAGGCAAAGGGTCAGCTTTAAGACTTGCCCTATTTTATTTTTTTTGTACAAATTTTTTCTGAGTTGCCCCTTAGCAGTTACTTCCTGTAATAGTAACCTGTTAGTAGTTTGCTACCTTTATACTATGTGTTAATTCAGTTATTTTCTGAAGTAAAGTCACTGGAGTGTGCTCTGGAATAAATAACATGGAACAGAAATAAAATAAAGGTGAATGCAGAGGAACCTGCACACCTGAGAGATGATGCCTCTTCAGTAGCATCGGCCTGTTAGGTGAATAAAACCTGATGAAAGCAGCACTGGTTTTTTGGCAGGGGTAGTGAGGAAACCCAAAACAAACCATGGAAGATTACCCAAGCATAGCAGGTGTTTTCCTAACAGTTAGAAAGAATGTAGCTGTAGTCCTCAAGCACACTTTAGCAGCCAAAGCACTAAAAGGATTGCCTTTCGACCTGTTCCAGTTCTTGTTACTGGAACACCTCTTGTGTGTGACAGAAGTAGCAAGAAAACTTTAACTACAGGAACCAATGAAAAGACCTGTCTTCTCTGAAAATTCAGCCTCTTGGACCTGGTAAGTTTTCATAAGCCATGTAGCTTAAATATTAACTGTCCTTATGACAAATAGCTGCCCTAAGTAGCTCTTGAGTTTCTTCTGTTTGTTGACGGACTTGCTCGAGGAGTTTGGCCATCTGGCTTTTTCTGAATGCTTGTGAAAATTCTGGATCTGAAGAAGAAAAATGAGCATTAGGCAACCTGCTGTTTTTCCCTGTGTTTTAATGCTGATGCTTAGAAAGCTTATATTTCAGATTAGGTACAGCTGATGGTTCTTACTACAGTGTAAAGTACAGACGAATTAGAACAATGTTCTACTACACAAAACAGATACTAATGCAGTTTTCACTATGACTCCCTATGACTATTCTAGATTTTAATTTGGAATGCTAAATTTGCTGCTAAATTCTCCTGATCCAGGTATCTAAAGTTCAGTTGCTAAATTCAGCCTTATGCAATAGGCGCATATCAAAATGTGGCAGGATTGATACGGCTGGCTCTATATATGTGAAGATACATCCTGTATACATTTGTTACCGTATTATACCTCTCATCTGAACTCAACTTGTACCAAAACCCAAAAAAAATAATAAAAAATAATTCAAAAAATCAAGAGAACTGCATCTAGTGCTAAACAGTCTTATATTGGATGACAACATCTATATCTGAAGTCCCGTTTCCCTGCTGTACAGAAAGCCTTTAGTTTTTAGTCAAGCAAGCAAACAAAAAACTCCTGTATCAAGTCACTTAAAACCAAGTTTTATACAGCTACCCTGGAGATTGTTTGCTTAAGTGAGCAGAAGTAGTCTCCAGAGGAGGCGGCCCAGCGCTGCCATTTCTGTAGGGAAGCAGTGCCTGCTTGGTGCCAGGAGGAGCTGGCAGTGCCTGGCAGCACCCCAGGGGCTCAGCCCAGCAGGGAGGACGTACCTTCTCGAAGTCTGCAGAATGTAGAGATGCCCAGCTGCTGAAAACGGATCTCTTGATGGGTAAGAAAATTCTTGAGGTAGGCCTGAATCTCTCCAATGTGACGCTTCAACAAAAGCATCATTTTTTCTGCATAAATGGGAAGCACTTAAGGTCAGTAGGAGCCTTTAAGACATTTTGAAAACAATTTATAACAGCGTTTCAGATCATTAATGACATCTACCTTCAGCTACAACCAATGTTACTGCAAAGAATAGCAAAGGACTTCCATGTGCAACAGCCTCTAATGATACCACCGATACTTCAGGTAAACAAAGCGCTGGGTGTGCTGCTGTGTTGGGAAGCTGATCCTTGTGTGAGGCACATGCTGGTTCACAGACTGGTCAGCCTGACATGCAAACCTCTCTGTGAAGCAACTAGGCTGTTGGACTCTTTTCACTACCTGAGTCTGCTCTGTTGCAAAAAAAAACAGGTTTGTTTTTTCCCTTATTGGAGACTCATTACGGACTTTGGTTTTTCTCACATCTAAGGACTGAAATCTAACCATGCTTTTCTAGAGAACGTGACAAGAATCATCTGAACACCCTTTTCTTGCAAGTCTTAAAGGCTGTCAGCTGCAGGGGACAAGTATATTAAGCATAAAGCTGTTTGTTTTCTACAGGTAAAAATAATTCTCTCTCACTGAAACTTAAAAAAAATACAGGTTACATTCTTAAAAGCCATTTTACTTCGCTGCTACTGCTAATGTAGTCTAGAATTACAACAGAAGCATTAGGTTCAGGAAGATGCTTTCCTCTTGCTGGTTAGGAAGCAGAGTTGATCTAAAATTTTGGAATACAGCCATCTCTTTGTAATTGTCTCTACCAGCTTCTACTCTGGTATGTGCAGAATGCTGTCATGTTGTATATATTGAGAAGGAGGGTCAAACAGAAAAATGCAAAAATCACTTTTCTGTGAAATATGTTCATCTTTCCCTTGGTAAGGAGTATTTTATGCTTGCCTACCTTCCTACTTATGTTGGTTTTAAGGACCTCAGAAATGGCTGCAGACTGAAGAATGACAGTGCTTGAAGGCAAAAACCACCTGAATCAGATCTTCGTAGTCCATTTTCATCCCTCAAGTGCTATTTTATTTGTATTTCAAGGTTGACTGTAAGTGCCTTTACGCTAAAAATTATGTAGAGACCAGATAGAGGATACTGTAGGAATGTTAGAGACTGTTCAGTGCCTGAGAGTTAACTCCTTTGGGAAAAGGCTCATTTCACGACAGACAGACAGACATAAATATCTTTGAAAGCACAGTTAATGCTGTGTGACAGTTACCGTGACCTGTCATGTGCTGGATGATGGAGGCAGCTTGAAAGGATGTCTCTGTATGTTCCAGTTGACCAGCCAGTCTCACCAAACACTTTGTCAAGGGTTTATCCATCCGCTGGACCATGTGCAACACGGCTTCTTCTAGAAGATGGAAAGATAAGAGAGCAGTCTGTAAACAGAAACTCCGGTGTCGAGGAAATGAAGGCAAAGCCTGCTAGAAACCATGCTGCCTAAACAGGAAACCTTTCATACAGCTAGAGAAGCAAAGTAAGTGCTGAACTTGGGCAGTAAGTACACTTAGGTTGTAAAACAAGGTCGTGTCCGAAGGTTATGCTCTCAGTAAGATAGGGCCATGGTGCATAGACAGGCTGGGGAATTTTTATTTCGTTGGTTTTGTGTTCTGAATCACTTCACGTACGAGATCAACTCCTTCTTTCCTAGCGGGCTCAGTTGTCCAGCAGCTGCTGGGCACCTCTTGCAAAATGAAATGTGACATGCTGCCAGTTGCATGGCATTTACACCAGATACAAGAGATGAAAAGATGAAAAGTTTGACAGACAATATTCAATGCTGGGGCTGGATGGGAAAATTTACACTGATCCTCTCTGCTGTAAGGAGTGCTGTACTTTCCACAGGTGTTAATTTGGGATCTCTTATAAAATCTATGTGCAAGAAATTTAAAAAGAAAGAGCCACTTTGTACTTTAGTCTTTTTTTCTTATTATTTTAGTTTCTGCTATTGTGCAATGAATTCAGCTGGAGAAACTGGGCAGTTACAAATAACAGGAGACAGGCCACGTACAGCAGTAACGTTCATCACAATTAATTGTGAGTAAAAAATTTTAAGCGGTTCAACAGAAAAAAGTGCAAATGATAGAGCCCGTGTGTCCTGCCAGTGAGTCAGATCTTGCACTTGAAGCTTAGGCCAAACTCCCAGTAAATGTAAAGGGAAAGACCTGGGCTGTATGTCCATGTCTGTGTGTCATCTCCTACTAGGATTAATGAAGGATACAGACGCATCTCAGGTGAAGGCATTTATGGTGGGCTTGTGTTCCTACCTTGCTTTGATAGCTCAGCCAGGCAAGATGTTACATAGTGGAGAGAGTCTTCTTGAGTGTTGTTGGTAGAAAGCATGGTCTGAAGGAGACCTTCAATACATGGGCTCTCAATGATTCTCTGCAACAAGAAAGAGATCCATGTTTAGCAGTTCCATTAAGTTTTAGTGGTGTCCAAGGACTTCAGAAGTACTGAATAAGTCTTGCTGAGGGCTAAAACATTGATAATGGAAATGTCTCCTCCCAGATCTGCCACAACCAGGTGACAAACACCTTGCATTGTTCAGAGATCACCTGATTTTAGGCATTTCCCAGTGCTGTGGAATGTTCTTATGATCACAAATAACTCTGAGCTCAAAGAACTTCCTGACCTACTGCTGCTATACCAGGCTGTATGTTTGTATTAAGCTGTCATTTGCTCGAGTCTTGCTGCAGAGGTGAATAAGCTGAGTGCTTCAGGGAAAAGCATTGGGAAATGTGGAAGTTTTCCAGTTTCTCTTATTTGCCTCTGGGGAAGATAAAAATAAAAAAAAAAAAAAAAACAACAACAACAACAACAAAAAAACACCTTTCTCTGATCTGCAAAAAAAAAATTAGATGACCTCTTAGTAGCAAAGCCGAGTTCCGTTTCTGGAGAGAAATGTTATGAATGAAACATTTCTGTGTATCCCGTACACAATCTGCTATGCCAAAAGTGCTGGACAGAGTGTCTCTGTACTAGGTTATATATTTTAGAGACTGAGTTGAAAACAGCTAGGGGACATAGCCTCTGCTGACCTGGATTAAAAACACATGAGACCAAGGAGTAAGTCCTGAATGAGTCATGTGGAGGTGACTGGTTACTAGTGATGTTGAATCACAGTCATCAGGTCTCTGGGAGGTACTAGTAATAGAAGTTGCTCACACCCCCATAAGGGAGCTCAAGTGTCTGTCAACAAAAGGGAAAATCTTTTTTTGTATGCTCATTTTATTTTGCAGTTTTTTAACTTGATACTTATAGGTTGAATCTGGATTCAAACCTGCTGCCTTTCAAGCTTGCACTCTCTGTTCTTGTCCTGCTGGCATGAAAACAAAATGTTTTTTCCTCTTCTGCCAAGGACTCTTTCGTGTTTTAGAGATGGTTCCTTAGAACTGAACCTGGAAACCTGGCACTCCCACTCATGTCTATGGATTCACTTGTGCAGTGAAAGCTAAATACTCTGTACATCATAAAGCTTTGCAAAAGGTGAACCAGCTCCCTGCTGATAACAGCATAAAGTCATCAAATTTAAGTGACAAATATGGTTATTTTTTTCAATGAAAACTTTGCAAAGCTGGTTTGTTTTTACTCCTACTGTGGACCATTTCTGGAACAAGTGGTAACTGGATCATGAACAAAGAAAAAAACTAACAGAACTGAGTCTCCAAAAGCATGTACTAGAAAGTGGGGCAAAGCAGAGATGAGGATCTGCGTAGTTTTTTTTCTCCAATAGTGGTTGTTACTAGTGGCACTGTTTGATCAAGGTGCTCTTAAAAAGCAAGGCAAAAGAAAGTGTATCCGTGGATTTGGATTTCATTAAACGCAAAGTCAGCAATAGAGATCTTCATAGCACCTTAGCACAAACAGTATCTTGCCAAGAAGGCAGAATGTAGATCAGTAACTGAGGTTATATATTACAAAGTGGGAGTGAAATTAGATCAGTGTTGAACACCATAACTGGATAACTAAGGGCAATTGAAGAGTGAGAGTTGGGAAATAAGGATTCAATTTATAACAAACCTCAGGTTTTCCTGGATGGTTCCTTTAATTAGTATGAAATGTCTTTGCTAGAAGCACATTTTATACCTATGATGCAGTCATTCAAATTAGGTAACCACACCACTCCCAGGAAAAATCCAGTATTTCTTACTTTCATTAGTGTTTTTGTATTGTATTGGAAAAATACAAATAAAACCCCCTTTCTTTTGATACCAACAGAACAGCAGCCTCCCAGGTTACAGCTCAGTGAAAAACAGTGAGTACCTACCTGTCTGTTTTTGGAAAGGCTCAGGTTTTTGATGACACAAGCAGTATGGCCAACAATCACAGGGTCTGTTTTATGCGCCGACAGTAGCATCCCCAAGCTCTGTAGTAGCTCGGCACATGTCAGAGTGTCCTGAGAAGAGCAACTTGTACCTCAGTTACATCCAGTACAGACAACACAATGCAGCTTTGCAGTGAACTATAGGTAGATAGAGCTTGGCTCTGAAAGAAGAGCATTACTTAGCTCACTTCAACCAATGGTGCAGCAGCTGTGTCCAGTGTTTTTTCTTTCAAAATTTGGTCTACTGGCTGTCATTGCTCTACAGAGCACTTGCCGTAGAAAGCTGGAGTTTTTAAAGGCCAGTAGGGTTTTTTTTGTATTCATCAAATGCTTCCCAAAGGTCAATGATAGCCAGGGGAAGGACATGTGATCCTGATTGGAAGGAGGAGTGGTCAGGGTAGGTGTGAGAAGCAGAAGTGCATGGTGAAGTAGCAGCAGCAGTGTGTCCTTGGGTACCTCAGCAATTTACCTTGCCTATAATAATGAACTGTACGTTGAAATCATTTTGTGATCAGGTGCCACTTCAGCAACATGTTCTGAACAGCATATTCTGAGTTTATACCTATGTTTCTCTGCTGTCTGATGGCAACTTTAAATGGACTTCATTGAGTCCGTCTCTCTCTGCATGTAGTCTTTCTCCAGTTAGCACTAATATTAACTGATTATTAGACCTACTGAGTTTGGATTACTGCCCAGGTAGTTTCCTCAGTAACAGTATGGATTAAGGGGGTGCTGCTCTTTGTAAGACAAACCTGATCTCAACATACTTTGGGTTAGGTCTACAGTTAAAATAAAAAAAAAAAAAAATTGTCTTAGTGTTTTTTCTTTCACTCTTTTTCCCTTAGAAATTTGAGTTGTTTATGCAGTTCTTATGTTTATTAACAACAAACTATGTCATTTGTGCTACTTAGAAGATAAGAAACATTAGCAAGAGTGTTCCATGTAAAACAAATAATTGGCTTTATATACAGTCGAGAAAAATGACATAATTTTGAAACTTGTGAAATGTCAGGGTCACTGGAGCAGCATTGAAAAGCAGATGTCTTTAAAATTTAGTTTAACTTGCATCTTTCTTTTACTTAGGTTACATTGAAAAAGCGTGTCTTATTTTCTTTTAATATCAGCTGACATCTTCACTTACATTCATTTTAAGCACTGTCACAACCATCAATCCCAAAATAAAACATGAAAATAGATGGAAGGGACAGTGCTATGCCTAAACTCAGGGCATTTAAAGAATCCTATATGCAGATATGGTGGTAAATTTTTTCTAGTTTTCTTTTTCTTCAAATGTAGAAATAAAATCATTGATGACTATTTTCTGTGCTTTTGGAAAAAGTGTCTCCTCTTTCCTATGAGATCCCATCATCAACTATGGTACCCTTATTTGACTTGCTACAGCCTGAGAGGAGGAAATTTTCTATGGACTATAAACAAAATTGATATAAGACAACTTCCCTGCCAAGCTCTTCTGCCTATTTAGGTCCTACATTAGCTAGTGACAGTGCTTTAAATTTTAATGAAGGTTTTTTTTGGTTTTTTTTTTTGTTGTTGTTGTTTGTTTGGGGGTTTTTTTGTTTGTTTTGTTTGTTTGTTTTTGTTTTTTTTTTTTTTGGCTGGCATATGGCTGGGATCTAAATTTTTGGTTTTGGCTCAGTCCTACACAGCACAAGAGAATCACAAGAAAACTCTAGTAAAAACAGATTGGATGGTTCAGATCGATATTGACTGAACTTCTCCCAGAATTTAAAAACAAAAAAAATGGGGGGGGGGAAAAAAAGCATTCCAGAAGCAAGTGTGCTTACAGTTGTAATGCTGCACTTGCACCCCTTAACCAGAGATTTCTTGCCAAGATAAATATTATTCCCTGTATACCAGGTAGCAAGATGGGAAGGCAGAGTTATTTTGTACCTGGAGTGGAAAGTCAGTGGCATCATCTGGAGTAGACAGACCCCTTCCACCCTGACTTTCAGGTCTTTGGTCAAACGAATGTGATATATAAGACTGTCTTCTCACAAAGTCTGACTCTTTAGTGTTTCGGGGCTGGGCTGTCCTTAAGAGAAGTGAGTAAGTTTCCTCCTGCAAGAGGGAAGTTTTCCAGCGCTTGCTGGGAATCGCTGTCAACAGCCTGGCCAGGGGATTGCAAAAATGGGGTTTAAGAGGGGAGAGGAGCTCCTGTGAGGCAGTCCTGGGGGTTTGCTTCATGGTAACGAAAGGGCAGATGAATTCTGCCCTATTGTATCCTGGGTAGTATTTGTAATAATTCAAGCATCACTTGACTTGCTTGTAAAGGTTAGCTTTGTTCGGCGGTTTGTTTTCCAACAGCTGTTCCCATGGAGAAGTCCCTCTTTCACTCATGGAGAATTCAGCGTGAGTTAGAGAAAGAAACCTTGAAAAGATTTGAAAAACAGGCTAGAAAAGGCATGGAGGTGGGGAGGCAGTATATGAGTAAGGAGAGGTCAACCTCTTCCCAGAGTGCCCAGGGCTTGCTCGCACAAAGCAGCCACATTCAGCAGCCACAGACAGCCCTGTTTGCTCACTAAAACAAATGTTGAGATGTAGATGCTTCTCACTGGAGAATAAACTCTTGAAGGAGATGCTTTGCTTTCCAGCCTCCTGCTGCTGACCCTTCTCCCCCATGAAGGACAGGCTGTTTCACTGCTCATGTAACAAGGCTGAACTCCCAGTGCCCTTGTTGCCACTGATGCTGCAACGTGCCCTTGGCAGCTGGGGGTTTGAAGCACTGGTAAAGACACGTTTTGGGGTCAGGCAGGAAAAGAGTTGTGGGTACTCTTTGCTGGGAGAGCAAAAGTACAAATGGTGCTTGGGGGCAAGGAAAGCAAATGTGAGCAAGAACAATGTTCCAGCATAATGCCTCGTACTGAGTAATGTTTTTACTGTGTAAACGGCCTCCAGGTAACTTAACCTATTTCAGCTGTAAGCTTGTTGAGAGCAAATTGGGGTTTGATTGTACGAGGCAGTTTGACAAGTAATGAGGATGCTGGGTGCTGATGTAGCCAGTACAAAGCCTACGAAGCCACAGGGCCTTTGAAAAGCTCTGCACTCTAGTTGCTGCTTCCCAAGCACTGGCCTTACCCATTTTTTCCATCATGTCCCATAGTTAGAGGAGGTGTCATCTGGCTCCCACTGTGCTGCATACGTGCAGCTGAGGTCTAAGTCACCGGGCTTCCAATAGCCAGAGGAAATTTCAAATCAGACTGAGTGTATTTCAGCCATGAGAAGCACCCAAGCCCAGGTGTGGCTACTCAGACTGTCACTACTGCTTAAAGCAATGTGGCAGGAAAGGTTCTCACATTTTTTTGCTTTATCTACCCAAACTCTGACTCTCTTAAAAGGTTATTGCTAGCTTATGACACCCATCAAAAACCTTTCCTATCCATGTTCTTAAGGATGTCTATAATTACTGTAATGGAAAAGCACACTTAAAAACAATTATAATTTGTCAGTTGCTATTTACTGGTTTTGCTGGTTTATGTGGGGGATTAAAGTAGAGCAGGAGTGTCTGTTTTGTTTGTTTGCTGTATTTTATTTCTACCCAGACTTCTTCATGTATTTGCATAGTGTTGCACTGTTAATGGTGGTGTTTACCCTGAACGTGGGCAAAGGAACCATTCCGTAACTAAGGACATGAGGAGGATACAGTGAAGTAAATTAGCCAAAGGTTCACTAATGTGATTCACTAATTTCACATTTTATTAGCTCCTCTTGATGTTTTGATCCTAATTCAAAAGATGTTAAATTTATGCAAATGTTCTTTTGAGTCACTGTCCATAGAGGAAAGTAATGCATTTTTGCCCTGTACCTGGCACAGATGCACTTGAAATGCACACTTTAAATTAGTTTCCCTGCTTTTCAGTGTGAGGGGAAGCTCTGTAGCCAAGGAACAGCTTCTTCAGCTGCCGCCATGGCTGCAGTCTCTCAGTGTGCTATGTGTGTGTCTTGCCCCTTGCACACTCATCTGAGGGATGAGGGGACCACAGGCAGGTGCAGGGCAGTGTCCATAAGTCCAAGGAATCTGGCACCCATCTCCTGCTCTGCCCTCCCCTTGGTGCCCTTACAGACAATCTTATTAACTACAGGATCCTTTGGATCCCACTCACCACCACAGATAGGCTCCTTGGGGACCTAATGACTTGTTAAAACCTCGTTATTTTGGGTGACAGAGGGAGCAAGGGTTGGGAAGTCTCACAGAGCCTTTGGTCGTTCTCAAAATGCATTTCATATGCAGTTTTGCCATAACAGAGCATCACCCCAGGCCGTGGCCAGAATTACTCTCCCCACTCTGGCCTTGGGGAGTGACATCCCGTACCTGGTTGTGCGGGTGCTGGGACAGTATCCAGAGCAGAGCGATGGAGGCACGACGCACGTCCTCACTGCCAGACGCCAGGAGGGAGCACAGCTTGGGCAGGACATCTTCAGCAACCATCTCAGCCTGGATGTCTGCTGGTTTGGGAAAATAACTGAGGTCAGGGGGCTTCAGAGCACCATGAGGAGGTATTTGGGCCCTGACCTTTGTGCCTCAGTGATGAAATTAGAGGGCACCTCCCCGTGTCTGTAGGACAGACAGCTCGGTAGGATGGGACAATGCTGGATGTTTGGTTATAAAAAGAAGCTCTCATTTGTTCTGTCTCTTTTTGCCGGAGGATTAACCCAGGCTTGAGAGCAGAATGTAGGTTTGGGTAGCCCTCAGTTTGTGTCTGACCTTCAACAAGAAGAAATAAGGGGCGTTTTCTGGGTCCTTCATTAGCATAAGGCCCAGTACGAGGGTGGCAGCTTCTGCTGTACAGACAGAAAGAGGTCCCCAAGCACAACCTATGTTGCAGAGTTATGGTTAGCCAGGGAAGAGGTCAGCCATCCTGGCAGAATCCCTTCTGGGTGCTAAAAGGCAATATCAGATCAGCCAGCAGATGGAGCGACAGTCCCAAAAGGCCAAACAGACCCGGAGGGTTTCAACCACAGCAAGGTGTAGCACAGCATTTCCTTCAGCCCCAGCTCCACTGTAATTGTGGTTGCTTGAAAATTAAGTGCTTCTACACTTTCTAGATTAACAACTCCACCCTCAACCCCAGGGCTCTAGCACTGAGTGTGCCAGTCCTCTGCTTTCATCTCCTGAATATGCTGTAGAAATGGATCTTGGGCAATTAAGAGAATACATTTTTTTTGAGAGTATGATAAATGCTTGGGAGAAAATTATATTTAATGATAGACAGATTCATGCCTTGGGAGAAGGCAGGTCTCCACTCAAGCAGCAACTTCAGGAGACATCCTATTTTAATCAGGTTTAATGCTTAGGAAACGGGGAAAGGAGAAAAATTCAATAAGTTGCAAAGGTTCTGTGCATAAGGAGACCTTTGCTGTCTCTCTCACTTTGTCCAGATACTTCCCTTCACTACCTGGGAGCTCTGAGGCAGGTTTGTATGGACTGCACCTCCCTCTTCCCTTAACATCCAATTAAAATGTAGAAAAGAGGGTATCTCTTTGCTTTTAATATAAAAGGTTCCCAGCCCACCATGCTCACTCTGAAAGCCAGAGACAAAAAGAAAAGAAATAGCGTGGTTTATCTCCAAGATATTGCTTACCACTGGTAGCCAAATTTCTTAGGCAAACACATGCCTGGCTTGAAACCTGCTTGTGACAAAGAAGGAAAAAAAAAAAAAAAAGAGAGAGGGAGAAAGGAAGAAAGAGCAGTTTCAGTAATGCATGTTCTTGCCTATTGTATGTAAAATAAACAACATTAGCATGCTATTACATTATCTTCAGAGAACAAATTTTAGGACATGATTTTTTTTTCCCAAAGTTTTGATGAATTCTTTTCAACCTCTTGTAGTATCCATCATCCTCTTGTTGATGAGGAAGGGTCAATGGGATTCAGATTTTGATTTGGTTTAGAATGTCAGATGAGTTACAGGAAAATGGAGTGAATGTGCCTCATTTGCTTTGTCTGTTTTTTCACCTCCCTCCTACACAGAATTTAAGGTTCCACCCTTTAAATCCTGGACTGTGACTTATTGAAGTTTCTTTGGTATGGCTTCCAACAAAACAAAATTTTCAAGATGTTATCCTTTGTGGCCATATGGTCAAAGTTACAGATACCAAGAAGGGGGGGAAAAAAAAAAAAAAGAAGGTAGCATAATAGATGCTCCGAGGTACCTTCTGTCACAGACACAATGATCAAAGTTAGTTGAGAGCCTGGACAGAGCACGTCACATCTAGTTTCAAGTTTAAAGAACACAGGTCATCCTAGTCTAAAGGAAGTATCCAGGGCTATGGAACAACTTTAATGATTTTCCTTCTCTTTCTCCATACATTGACCTTGTAGAACCTATGTATCTTCTAATGTATGTCATTTCTCGTAGGAAAGATGCTGCATAGGCACCTGTACAGTAGATGAGCAGAATTGTGCAAGACTGAAACTGGAATCCCAAATTTATAGTTCTACCCTTTACACAAAGAGAAAGGTGCAGCTTTACCTTGTCAACAGAAGAGGAGAGGAGAGAGATGAGTGTCTGTAGCAGGAATCCATTGCCAGGTCCCAGCATGGCTTCGTGGTGCTGAACGTTGGCTGCCACGTTGCTTAGGGCAGCACAGCTGTAATACTGCAGAGAACCAGGAGAAAAGGAGAGAGAGAAGAGGTCACACTGCTGACATCTTGAAGAGAATAAAAATAAATTGGAGAAATGCTCAGATTTAGAGCTGATGAAAATAAAGTGTTTTTCCATCTTCCGGGTGATTTATCAGGTAGATGGGGGAACAGCCCATGTGGGCTTCCTCCAGGAAAAGTGATGCAATCTGCTATAGCTACACCAGCAGCCATGCTGTGGCACTATATATTGTACAAACCCATCAGAGCCCCGGGTATTTGGGAATATACTGTGCTGCTGGAACAACACAGCTGCTGGCACCTAAGTTAGGTCACCTGCATCTACTGTATTATATGATTACATTGGTTTACTCAAGCTGGATGTAGTCATTGCCTTAGCATGCCAAGAGATCATTTTCAAATTATTTAAACATTAATGCTAGGCAGGATTATATATCTACATGACTACACAGGGAGATATAATTAGAAGAAACAGGATGAACTGCAGAGAAGGAAACTTTAAGACGATGATGCTGAAACGGTTTGCAGAAAGCAATTCCAGAGGCTCCATCCTTTCTGACTTTTAAGAGAAATCTCAATAGAGATAACAAAACTGATGGAGGAAACAGTCCTCTAGTACTCAGAGGACTGACTGAATGAACTAGTAGATTTTAAGGTTAACAACTTTTATTGATAGTTTTGATAGTTTTTCATCAGCATACTTTTGAACCAAGACTGTTGTGTGTGCAGAATCACAAATGGTGTCTGTGGTAGACCTAAAATAGGAAGGCCTATTTTTTTTCCCAGATATTTACAATGAAAGAAAAAAAAATCTTTGCAAGTTATGTCCTCTCAGAACACTTAGTAAAATTGCTTAGAGTGGAAAATCATAGTTAGGATACAAAAAATTAAAAAAAAAATGGGGGGGAGGGGAAGAAGGCCTCTCTGTAACTTGTCTGATGATCTGAAACACACAAGAAGGTAACGGTGTAACGACAGTGTGAATGCCTTATGCTAGTGCTGGCAGATGCACTTCTGTGTCACAAATTTTCTCTTGCAGAGCTAGACAAACTGAGTGTTTTGAATATGCATTATCTGACTGAGCTGAGTTTCCCTCACATGTTTTCCCCCTTCTCTAGAGAAACCTTTTCTCTACCTTTTCATTTCTGCATGCTATGGTTTGTGCCCTCCTTACACTCACACTGTTACTGTTTAAAAGTCTTACTTGTTTGAGCCATACCTGTACTTCTGAGTCAGGAGATTCCAGCAGCAAGGCAAGAACTGGTAGGGCTCCTTCCTTGCACAGGACCTGTTGGATTTTCTCTGCCATTTAAGAAAAAAAGTGCTGTTAGTGTGTCTTTCCCCTCCCCTCCCTCTCATCTGGAGGCACCATGCAAAAGGGATATGAGCAGCCACTGGGTTCTGGACAGTGGTGATCTTGTCCAAATATATGCCAGTCACTGTGACTGGAGAGTATATAATTTAGAGCTGTGCAATATAGCAGTACACAGACATTTTAGCAAATGAGGAGCAGGCTGTCTGATTAAGCCTCGGCTGGTTTTATGCTAAAAACTGTTCTGAGAATCTGAATTGCTGTAGAAGATGAAAACCTCAGGTATGATATTCACCATGATTTCTGTGTTAAGAAAAAAAAAAAAATCTGAAAAAATAACAGGAATGTGATAGCCAGCTCTAGAAGTTCTTGCCAACTGTTCCCTTCAATCCTCCAGAAATAACAGACACTACCCACAATTATATCATTTAGCTGTGTGGGATGATGGTATCATCTAGATAGGTGAGATTTATTGCTGGTTTTTTTCCAGAGTTAATGTATGGTAGTACACCTATTATTGCAGAAGACCAACTGCTGCTTTTGCTAAAGCTGTTGGCAGAAATCCCATGAGCCTTGAGCATTTGGGCTGTAATAGTTTTATTTTACATCTTCCAACGTTAAGTTAGGGATAGAAGTCAAACATTCCTAGAGCTTGACCTTGTTGGATAAGCTTCTGAGACTGCCTGAAAGTACCACCAAATGTGTTCCTGACTTTTTAGACCAAGTTATTTTTTTTCCTGTCTTTTTTTTTTTTCCTATGTGTTTGACTGATGTTTTAAGAGCTGGTACATAAGCCTTTTAAGGTTGAAAATCAAGCCTTTCTATTTTGATACTAGGCAAAAAAGGGTCTGTATTAGCTAAAGAGAGACCAAACTGGAGTCATCAACCTGTGGAATCGATGTGAATGTCATATGCAAGGGAAATTATTTGTTGTGAGAAATTTTCTTACAACAATTTTAGGTAAACCGTTAGAAAGTACCTGATTGTGTGAGGTTGAGAATAGCACCAACTGCATTTTGTTGGACTCTAGGATCATAGGAATTTGCAAGAGACAGTAGGGGTGTGACTCCTCGAGCAGCGCCAATAGCTTCTCGGTTGGACTCTGGTGAAAAGAATCAAAGAAAGAAGGAAGACATTGCCACCTCACTGTGAGCCAGGAGCAGGACAACTAGCAGGACCAGATTTCTTTGGTGTTCGCTTCTCTGGGTCTTTGGCACAACAAAATATCCCTGCATGCTCAAAGGAACCTGGTAAAAATTCCAAGGGCTCAATGGGAAAGAAATGAACTAATGACTTCTGGATTAGGCATTGGTCACAGCTCATTCAATGTTTCTGCTTCTGTGACTGAGATGATTAAAATAAAAAGACTGTAAGTGCCCTTAAACAGGTTAGCAAGGTGTCATACTTGCCTTGTACCCCTGGTATGTCTGATCAAGCTATTCAGTGTGCCAATCTAGTCAGGGCCCATTTTTCTCTTTAAATGTGCTTGAGGCACTCTCTTGACAGCTAGAAACAATGCTGAGGTTTCCAAAGACCACTGGAATTTGAAAAGGTGCTGCTTCTCTGAAGTGGTGATGCTTCCTTGCCTGCCAGTGCATTACGTTGTATAGTTGTATTCAACATTAACAAGAAGAATTCAGAAAAGATCTGCAGAGTCCCTTGAGACTTTTGGATAAGAAACTGGGGAAAAATAACTATAATAATTAATAATGCTATAAAATTAACTGTATATTATAAAATACTGTATAACCTAATTATATACAGTGTATATATACACACACTACATATGACAAAGTTAAACTATGCTATGAAATGCAATAATATTTAGAAAAAAAACCTTTTAGTTCTACTCCTTTTGTTCTGAACTTACTGAAGGTAGCCTCAGCTGCACCATATAGAAGAGGATCTCTCTGTTATGCTCTTCCCTACCTTTCTACCATGAAGCCATCAAAACATTTGCAACAACTAATCTGCTGCCACACGGGGACAGCTATGGTCCTCTCCCCTTTGTGCTATTTATTATCTACAAATTATCTGTATTGGTATCTTATGAGCATCCTAGTGGCATAATTTTGAAAAAAAAAAAAAAAGTTGGCACTGGTATTCTCTTATTCTCTGAAACTGATGATATTTAAATGGGGATTAGACCAAAGAAGAATTCTCTTAATATCACAGTATTCTGAAGATTATTTTATAAAAGGAAAAAGCAAAGCCTACATCTTCCACTATTTATATGAGCCAAACTGCTACTGAAAACCACAGGAGTTTTAGTTGCTTAATTTGTTTACATTTCTAGGCAGTTTAAACAACAGCCAGTCTGAAAGCTTGCTGAAAGAAACATGAAGCAAAAGAAAGCAAGAAATAGGAAGGTATTTGGATGAAATCAAGTCATCTCTTCAGATGCCAGCTTACAGTTAAGAGAACAAAGGTGTTATTTCTCTGCCTGGAGTCTATCCATACTGAGAAAGTGCCACACAGAGATAATCCAGGATACTTAATCAGGTATAGTTCA